CTTGAAAGTCATTGCTGCATATGAATAGATGTGAGTTAATAATTTAAAGCAGGGCTTGATAGTTCCATAGAGATAGCAAACAAGAAAGTAAAGCAATGGCTTTGCATGAGAGCCTGTTACAACCCTGTAAGTGTTTTTCTATAAATAGCATGCTGTTTCTCTCAGTCACCTTTGAGAGCAATGTTCAATCCAGAAGTATTGGTAGATAAAATCCTGACTTACAAGAAGTATAAATGCTGAGGTTTTTTTTCTAAAGAGATGCTAGAAGGGGCATAATTAGTAATTAGGATTGCTTAAGGGTGGTCACTGATCTGGGAGATATGAGAGGTAATACTTTGTGATGGATAGTTTGCATGTTTTGAATGACACTATGAGAATCCAGCATGGGAGAGGAAGCACAGCAGGACTGTGAGCCTTTTCGCTGCAAGCTGACTGTGTTCACGATTTAGCCACAGTGCTGTCGCACCTGCAAGGACAAACAAGCAAGGTGTGAAGGTAGAGTCAATATTTCCTAGGACACTAATTACTGCAATTTGGGAAAAATAGAAAAAGGTTTGGTGAGACACGCCTTGAGGTTTTGATAAGGCAGAGCTGCAGATTGCCTTTAGATCATTAAGTGTTAGCTATCAAGAGGTGCTCCAGAGTTGAACAATTTTAGTCCAGGTTTGACAGTCTGGGCCTCTAAACACTACCTGGCAAATGCAAAAAGCTGTGGGAATACAAAAAAAACCCCAAATGTTCAGATCAGCAGTTGTGGAGCAAGATAAACAGCATGAGACCCAAGGACACCCCTGGAAGAAGAGGGAATGGCTCATGGCTCTGACTGGATAAGTGCCTGCATGAACGGTTAAGAAGTGTTTGTAACATAGTTGGTTGGCGTGGAAAGGTGGGTGGGAAAGTTGAAAGGGCGGATGGAAAGCTAAAAAAAATGAAAAAAAATTTTAAGAAAGAAAACTTGTGAATGTATGTAAGTGATGTGAGAACTTGTAGTAAACAATTTGGATAAACAATAGCATCTGAGTCTATGCATCAGACCCTGCAAAAAGCTTTATCTGAGGTGCATGAAATAATTGGGAAATAAGTGGATGTGTATATCTCATGTATCTACAGTTTGACAGTACTATATGAGGTTTATGTGCGCTACTGCTTGTAAGCTGGAAGTGAAGGCTGGAAGAGAAGGGAGACAGTATAGGAATCCCTTGCTAAGATAGCTAACATGAGGAAGACTCAAGTGGAAGACTTGTGTTTGTGTGAGTATCTAGACATTTGCCCTGGAAAAGGTGAAAAACAGACAAATGTACAAACAAAAAAAACTGCTCTCAGTGGTTGAGACTGAATGGAAATTCAGACTTTTTTTAGTAATAATATGTGGAAGAAGCAGAAAATGGGGAATTTTCCTTCACCCTCTCATTACAGATCAGAATTGATCCACTTGTCTGTATCCTTAACTCATGTATGTTCAGGCTTTCTACAGAGGTCCTTCAATAAGATGTGAGTGGTAACTAGGTCTGAAAATACCTTCCCTTTGTATTCTTTTTAACTTTACAAAGAACTACAGTATTTTGCCCATTATAGCCTGAAAATGTTAATTTGAGCTTTAACACATTAAATTTGAACAGTCTTCAGGGCTAAGATAGGAGAAATGGAGAAAAATGAGTGAAATGAAAGGCCACCCTTCCTTTGGCCAATTAATATTAATGAGATTTATGACTCACTTTTGCAAGAACACTTAAGCAGTAATCTGAATTAACTAAAACATGAATGTAATGTGGATTAGTCAAACAATCCTCTGGGTGATTAGTCATACTCAGAATTAAAGAGGCCTTAATTTGATATTCATTTCCAAAGCTAAAGTTACCAGACTTCTAGTCTTTAGAGATGTTTATTTACTCTGCTTTAAAAGTTAACTTCTTGAATGTCCTTGTTTACAGAAGCTCTTGATAAATAGATCCACTTTAATAAGAGTCACTTCTGTCCTAACTTGATTGACTCACTAGCAGCACCTATTCCCAGCTTCTGTGCTGTGTTACCTGCTTCACCAGGTGTAGAGCCATTGACTGCTTCCTTTTAGGGCAAAAGGACTGGGGATTTTTACAGGCAAGTTTTCCCCACTTGCTAAGAGAAAGAATGTTACACACCGGTGCTCAAAGTGTTGTCTTTCTAGTCCTTGTTTCTTGGATCCTGTGTTTTCTGAGACTGGATAATTACCGATAGTCCTTCTGAAGAAATTTATAAACTCAGATTATTTCTCCCGAGTCTCTTGGCAATATCAACAATATAACCTGTTTCATAACTTCCTACCAACGTGATCTATTTAATACTTTTGTATTTGGCTTTGGGAAGGCTATGCCTTATCGCTGCTCTCTTCAAGCTGCTTCCAGGATGTACTCAAGGGAGTGCTGGAGAGTGAACCTCAACACTTGTGGATTCTCAGAGAGGTCTGGATAATCATCAGAAGGTCTGGATGTTTACTTGAGCCTTGTTTAAACAATTTGAGTCCCTTGGGTCTGCAATTTTGGGTCAGCAACCTTTTGCATATGACTCTTGGTATCTCTGTTTTCTGATGAGGCTGGACACACTCACGTGTCTCTTTGAGGCGGTATTTTTCTCCTTGTTTTTACTACTGTTAGGGGGTTATCAGGTCACCAGTTTTTGGATTCTGGTTCAGGAAAGGCCTTAGACATGTTCCTGGCCTTGAGTATAAAGCAAAACAACAAAGACTGGAGAACATGCTTTAAAGAAATGAGGTAGACATAGGAAAAAATATCAGACAGAAAAGTTGTGACAGCTGGTGTGCATGTGACTGATTTGAGACAGAAAACATCTGTGGATCATAAGCCCTTGGTTAGTTTGTGGGAAAAGACAAGTTGCACAAAAAGGTAAAAGTGCAAATGAAAATGAGAGTGCATTTCTCTTTGAGTCTTGGTTTACATTCAGCTTTACCAAGAAAGGGGGAATACAAATATTGTATACAAAGCCATCAGGAAGTAATAAAAATACAAATATGTGCACTGTAAGGGCTGTATATCACACTTACTTTCCTCTCACATAAGCTAGTTTTCTTAATCAAGCCTCAAAATGCAGGCTCATGGGTACTGAAAATATGTGTTTTCTGTAATTTCTAGCATTAGGGGGCCTACCAGTTCAGGATGTAACTTATGTAGCTGTAACTCTAGGACTGAACTGCTAAACAGCAGGAACGGGAAGCACGTCTGATCATCCTCCAAATTTTGCAGATTTTGGGAATGCCTTGAGCAAGGACTTTGGCATCTGAATTCCCTGTGCAGCCTGGCTGAGGCTTTTTGGCAGAAAGATGTAGGTGCAATGAGACAGCCATCTCAGTCCAACAGAGAACAACGCTTTTGGTAGAGGAACCAGTTTTCTTTGTAAATCTAATTGGCTTTGAAAAACAAGCTAATGGCTGAAGTATCTGCAGAGCAGCTTTCATGTAAACTCATCTTCTATGAGATAAAGAAAATAACTTTTTAAAGAATATATATTATTTTAATCTTTGTCCTTGAAATTAACAAATTAACTTTCTCTGTGATTTGTGACTGCCTCTGGCTGTGTTTTTACTGTCGTAACAGCCTCTGGAAGATTGCGCGTCTCTCACATTCACTGCAAAGTAAACAGGAATTCTTTCCAAGGGTAACTGGCCAAGCTCCAGTGGAAGAATGCAAGTTATTCATGAGTTCTGGTAGGCTCATTTATGCTTAATATGGTTTGTTTTTATTATGGACTTTGTGAAGAGAAGAAAAGTAATGAAAAATTTTAAATCCCCTTGGATTATTTTCTTCAAACATGGAAAATAACCCTCTCACGCCCTCCCCAGCACACAGCCACACTGCTCTTTGTCCTGGCTGCATTCACCTCTTTTCTACCTTTAGTCACAAGAAGGTGAGCTGGCAGAAGGATACCAAGATGTGGCTAGGACATATCATTCTCATTCTGAGAACCCAGCTGGTGTCACAGACAAGCACAGCAATCCATCACAGCTCTGGTGAAGGCCTGCCAACACCATCCACCATTTGCCCTTCCCAAGCACGGGCAGCAGCAATTGGAATTTCTTTGTCTTGCACAACCTTCATAGAAAAGGAAGAAAAGTCCTTGAGGTATTCAAGCAGATTCAATGTTATAAGAGCAGACCGGGGCCAGGTGAACTGTGCTCGGATCCTGTGTCCTTTGTGGCACCAGCAGGTCTCCTGTACCCATGCAGCACATCTCAATCATTGTGCCTTTCCTGCTTTTGTCTGGTTTGCTCTCCAGGGCTTCTGAGGCTTTGTGGTTCTTTCCATTCTGACAAACTGAGCTGCCCTTTAGTGCTTTCCTGGGACTTGTGGGAATATGTATTCTGTTTTAATATTGCTATTTAAGAAATAATGTTGTTATTAAATTCATGTTTTGAGTGGATATTCTCTCTTTTTAAGTGCTATTAAATTTTAAGTGAATATGGACATAATGTCTTATAATAGCTTTTAGTGTGAAATTCTAAGCTGCTTCGCCATAAAAAAACAGACTTAAGCTTAGCAAAACTCATTTTAATTATTATTAAATTAGGGTTTAAGTTAAATTATTAATTATAATATCTGGGTTTATGTATATGGGGTGCAGAAAACATGGATTTCTCCAAGGTCCCACCAAAAGAGCTATATTGAGTGAAGACAGAACCCTTAACACTGGACTTTTAAGAGGAAGACATTATGTAGCAAATTGCATGAGTTGAATTATGGGCATCTAAATGAGTGTGCAATTGGTCAGGACCTCCTGGTAAGTCTCATGTGATATTTTATGACTAACATCAATAGCAGCTGAGCAAAAAAAGTGTTTTTCTTCAGCTGCCCTTTGGTTAGAGTTGAACAGACAGGTTAACTCAGTCCAATTTGTTCCATTCACCTCTCTTCCCTTTTTGTTTTCCCTTTGACTATTCAAGTGCCCATCTTTTGTTTCCACTAATACTCAAATAGGAGGTTTTAATTTCACATGAAAGAACACACTGATGTGTGATGCCAGGGATTTACACCAGAATTTCTGGCATACTCAACTCTGTGTTTTGGCTGCCTGTATGTATTTGGAAATGAGGGTATTAAAAAGGAAGGGAACATTATTCATTCCAATGCTTAGCATAATGCAGCATTTCTAAATGTTCAAAGCACTGTCCAGACATCATCTTAATAATCTCATAATCTTTCCAGGAATATAAACAGAGTTTATCTCCTTCTAATGCTGAAGCAAATTTCTCAAGGGCAGGAATGGGAAAGGCTCCACTTCTCTTATTTCACAGAATCACAGAATCACAGGATTTGGAAGGGATGTCAAGAGATCGAGTCCAAACCCCCTGCTAAAGTAAGTACCCTACAGTAGGTCGCACAGGTTCGGTGTCCAGATGGGACTTGAGTATTTCCATAGAAGGAGACCCCATAATCAATCTGGGCAACCTGTTCCAGTGCTCTGTCACCCTTACCATAAAGTTCTTTCACATGTTAGTATGGAACTTCCTTCGTACAGGTTTTAGGCCATTACTCCTTGTCATATTTGTTACACACTACCAAGAAGAGCCTGGTCTCATCCATCCTCAACAGAAAACTGAGCATTGTCACTTCATGCTTTTAGTGCTCATGAATAAGGCTTATATTCATGAGATGTATGGCACAGTCCAGCTGAGCTGTAAAACCTCAGCATATTCTGACCAGTAGCTCATCAAAAGCATTCAGAAGGAAGAAGACTGCATGGAAATACAGATCAAAATAGATAACTACATTTAGGCTGCATAAAATAGTTTTGTAATTCTTGCTATATGTTGTGCTATAAGATCAAGGATGTTCACCAAGCATCTACACACAACACCACACTGACCCAATGAGATACATCAATACAATCTTACATTAACCCAGTTAAACAAAATTCTTTTACTCCCCCAGCACTTTTCTGGTGAAAGGGAACAAGAATATTTAAAAAAAAACCAAAAACCAAAAACCAATAAATGAACATATGGCTCCACAGCCTTCCTTCTCATGCCACTGATGTAAATACAACCTTTCACCTTTCATATGGACAGCAGGGTGCATGACATGTTTTTTGACAGATTTCTTAATCAGAAAGTAAGTTTAAATAAAATAGACAAATGTTTCCATTTTGCTGAATGACTGGAGTGTGACCAAGTATTTAAAATGCTTGTGGTATAATGCTGGAAGAAAGAGAGGAGGTGTACTCTTCCTATTGTCCTAAATAGAGGGCAATGTTTCTTTGCTTTTCAAAGAGTAAACCAGAGAAATCAACATTGTGGCACCGCTGCATTATTTTTATATACAACTACAAATGCTTTATCCCACAAAGCTGACAGGATTCCTTCTACAATGAAATTTTGAGAAGCCTGCATTTTTTATTTACAACTCAAAGTAGCTCAGCTAGTAGAAATTGCTTTGTCAGCCTACACACTTGAGACAGAATCAGCTGTCAAATTCTGAAGAGCCTTTATGCTTCAGTTTTCAGGTAAGTTTGGACTGAGAGCCTTGAAGCAATTGGCTGGAAAAATCATTAAACCTTCCAGATGGACTCTGCTTTGTCTTTGGACTGGTTGACCCATCTCACGACTGTGTGCCCAGGCAGTGCTGCCTGCCGGTCCTGGTATGTGTGAAGCCTCAACAGGTGACTCACCTCGGGTAACTTGAGTGCTCTCCCCAGTCTGTGATATTTTCTGAACTCTTTTCTTTTTCCCTCTTGATTCACTTGTCTTTTTTTGCCCAAGGATCTTTGCTGTTTTGCTCTCCTGCTAGACATGAACTGTAGTCAAATATGGGACAGGTGTAATTCTTACTGCTGCTTGGATAGATCCTGCTGGGAAAATTTCTGCTCCTGTAAGCTTTGTCAATCATCTTTCTGCCAAAAAAGGCAGTGGAGAAACTTCAGCTTTCTTTGCTTGAATAAAAAGAGTCCAGTGAGCCTCTCAAAGTTCTGGAGGACACAGCCCCAGTTTTATCCCTGTGTCCTGAACGTTAGTGAGCCCTTCCCCCTTTCCCTATTGCTGAGGTACTTGGGGTTCATGTTCTTCTCAATTTGCCTATCAGTCACCCCGCCCTCTCCCCTTCATTTCCTTTGTTTATATACACTTTGTAATCTGGGTTTAAAGTTTGTTGTTTTGCTCAACTAGATCTTTGTATCCTGTAAATTCTATCACTTTTTGTTCTGCCCAGCAAGCAATATTTACAGGCAGCTGCTAAGCTAGCATCTCCTGCTATATACCTGCAAGAGAAGTTTGTTTAACCAGATCCTTGTAAATAAAACTCTTTTTCTTTTTCTTGTTTTGCAGGGACCCCCTGTCCTTCCTTTGTTCTTCCTGAATTTTATTTTGTATCTTCTCCATGTTTTTCCTTCAATCCCGTCTCCTTTTTCTTTAAGAAATCTAAACATTAATCTTAACTCTGCAGAAGTGATAGAAAAGGTCACAGAATTGCCCCTTATAACTGCTTGGCTGCTCCATTCTCTGCTTCTCTTTCTCACCATCTTGGCTTTCTTTTCAAAGCATTATAAATTCCTTGTTCTGGGCATTTTCATCCACTTGTAAAATTGATTAATTTTTTTTTATAAGCATTACTCTGAACTTTCAAGCAATAAATGAGAACAGAAAAAACGGCAAAGCCTCAGCTCAGGTTTTTGTGGTTCATATGCTTTCCTTTGGCAGCTGTCTTATATGATTAGGTGAAACCTCAGCTCCAGAAGGAGCAGATGGCTTTGGGCAGGAGGGAGATGTAAGGCAATGAGCAGCTTTGTAACTGTCTATAGGTGTGTGTTAGTCACTTCAGTGAGGAAGCAGCCAGCCCCTCCACTCGCTTGTGCCCTTCATTTCAGCCATGGTGTGAACACCATTCCCACTTGCATGAATTTTAAAATATAAGATTGGTGAAGTTATCCTTTTCTCTATCCTATCAGATGGATGCTGGAACAGGATCCTGTTATGCAGATGGCACTCTGCTGTTGTAGAAAATTTTCAGTCACAGCAAGAGTTGAGGAAGATTTTTGAGGAGTGGCTTCTCCCAGGAATTCTGGGAGGGCCTTGCATCCAGCAAGTGGCCGTTCTGTACAGCTGTTGCCTTGACACTTAATCATTTTGATAATCCTTTCAGAAATAAACAACCACCACAAAAACCATTTCCCCTTTTGATAAATAGCTTTGAATTGCTAGAAAGCTCTTTTTTTTTTTTTTTCCCTTTTCTGTTTGATGTATAGGAAGCGGTATTTTTTCTAAAGTATCATAATCTATGAGTATAATACAGCAATTTCATATTTGAAAAGAGACCTAGTGTACTGGACAGACCTGGGTAATGTTAGCACAAGCAACTGCCTAAAACTAGGTCAGGTGCGTCCATGTGTGCCACAGTTGTACCTCTACTTGAAGCACAGATATGCCAGCAGAGTGGGGGACTTTGGCTTAGCTGGTCTGCAGAGTGTGTAAAATCTGGTCATTTTGGGGTGCCAACTAATATCCAATGCAAATTACAAAAAAAATAACCTGTCTTTAAAATGATGTTTTAATGTCTGTTTGTACAGCAGAACAAATACGGTATTCCTCAGTACATACTGCCTGTTGTTATAGATTAGGTTTCTTCAACTATATGTAATACAGTATGCTGTTGTTTGGTATGTTTCCCAAATACTTGCTAAAGGAGTGTAAATTGTACCATAGAATTTCCTGGGTATTCAAAGACAAATTTCCATTGCAAATTCTTCAATGACAAGAACTGTTTGGCTTGTTCTTATTATTTAGACCAAGCTAGTTTAAAACAAAAACAACTATAACCCTTGCATGAACAGCATAAACAAACAGCCTTGTTTAGTTTCCCTGCATGAGTTTACGCAAAAGATAGCCACAAAAGAAGACAGTGGGGTTTGTTTTTCAGAAGTTTTTGCACAGTTGTTAAATATTTAATTGCCTGTTTCCCTGGGTATGCCATGAAGGCATGTTCCCAGAGAGAGTTCAGTTCCTGTTTGGGCTTCATTTCACTGATATTTATGTACACAAGCAGACTGACATGGAAAACAATAGATCTTCATGCATCACACTAATACACAGGCATAGTAGCTGCCAATGTACTGTTTTCTGCATGGCAGGAAACAGTTGCTGAGCTCACTTTGCAATTAGCTAGGAAAAAAACAAGGAATGGTATATTCTTCTGCTTCAAATTTCATCCCTTTGTGGGGGTCAGGAAGACATTTCTTACTTGTTTAATTGGTTAAGTTCATCTCTGAGTGTGGGGATTGTTGGGGAAAAGCGGTGAGACTTTCCTTGTTTTAGTGCTGGCTCCTAAAAGAAACAGACTCTAATAGGATTGGAGGCTGACCTATTTCCCTGTTTTGACAGCAGCATTCCCTCCTGTTAATACTTTTTCATATTGATGCAGGCTGGCTTAGCAGTAGGGATCAAAATATTTGTGTAAGGACCAATTATATTAGAAGGAATTTATGTGTGCTAAGTTCTAAAACTTTCCAGTTTAGCTTTCCCTTGGTATGGTAACAGTCTTGCTTTCCTGAATGATCCTGCTTTGCAGAGGCGCTGAAGTCACAATACAAGCAATGGAAATTTTCCAAACTGGGGAAGAACAGCTGGGTGTTGGACAGTTGGCACCATGATGAAGAAGAAGATGAAATAAAGGAGAAGAAATAGGTGGTCGTAGACCATCATAGTCCCCAGCTGCACGTTCCCAGAGGGACACTAGTATATATTGATGATTTCTTAGAAAACAGTGAATGAATATGTATGCCAGTGTATTTTGTATGTCTGTATTAACTGTTTAAATGTAGAACCAGAACTCTAAGTCACCCAGTACATATTGTGAGAATAAAGGAATGCTGGCTTTCAAACACCACATTGGAGTTGCAGTTTTCTTCCAGGATTTTTCTAATAACAATATGAGGAAGACTGGAGTGACAGCAGCCAGAGTTCCCTCTGCCTTCCTCTCAGTGGTTTAAGTGCAGCTTTCTATAAGATAGTGTTCTTCTTTTTAATGCAGAAATTAAATTCTAGATTTTGATGACTGATTGTCGTTCTATCTTTGAGCCCATAAAGGCAGAAGTTTCTCAAATGAAGTGAAATGGTCAGCTTCTGTTAGGTCTGATATGCTTGTCTCCCCTCTTCAAACTGCAGAAGTTTCTTTCAAACCTATGTAGACTAGTTTTGCAGAGCTCTAACGCCTTTGTAGAATTTCCACAGACTTGCCCATGCTAAGGAGCTTGGGGAATGGGAACATACTGCCTTCCCGGAGAGCTTCCCCCATCACACACTTCTGCACAGATGGAAGATAACCACTAGATGTGAAAAATAATAAATTAAAATACAAGCTTGGGTAAGACCCTAAAGTCTGCCTACAAGTGGAAAACCTCTTGTAGCCCCATATGTGTTACTTTTCCTGAGCTCCTCAGAGATGGGCCCAGTGTCTGAGTTACTTTCCTGCAAGCAGGTGAAAGGCTTTGTCTCTCCCTCATAGCAGAGTTTAGTCCTCTGTTTCTTACATATTGATCTAATCAGTGTTCAAGAAGAAAGAAGTTTGTAGAAAGAAAAAAGCTTGCACAATTTTTTCAGATGTGCACAGGGTAGAAAAGGATGGAAATTTTTTATTCCCACTTTGATCAGTTCAGCTGGTGAGCAACAGGTGCTTGGTGTGTGAGAACAGCTTTACTGCCTACTCTGCCTAGCTGCTGCACCACTGCGAGCGTGAATTTGAGAAATGCAGTAGAAAATAAATGTTGAGGACTTTGAAGGAGCAACTAGTTTAGTTAAATGTGTGAAGGCAGTGAGAGGAGGTCCCTCCCGAGAGGTAGGCAGGCAAGTTGCTAGAAGAATGCTTCCACTGTTGTGTTAAACTTGTCTCAGGAAGCTATGCCTGGGGACCAGCAGCACTGTGGAGAGGTCGCTTGCACTGGTTCTGCCCTATCAGCTGACAGTTTGGCATCTATGTTAATATTCATACCATGTTGTCTATGTGAGGTTTTTCAACATTAACCCTTCCACCTTTGTGGCTTGGGAGGTAGATGCAGACCCACTCTAAGTGGGGAGAGCTAGAGGCTGTCATATGTAATTGAAAGATCTGCTTTCTGCTGTGGTATGTCTCAAGTTCTCCTCTTTGGGGATTTCTGATTAGGATGGATGTTTCCTGTACAAACCAGGGTTGCTGCGTTTTTTCTGGACAGCTGCTGTGAGTGTGCACCATGACCATTCATCTGGGACTTCCAGGAAAAGTGGCCAAATGGAGAAAGATGGCGGAAACATCTTGGTGCTCAAGAAGGCTAGTTCTATTCACAGCCTCCCCTTCTTTTTTTCCTCTCTCCTTTCATTCCTTCTCTACATTCTTTCCTTCATTCTTCTTCACTAAACGTAGGACTGGTTGGTTCATTCCTCTAGAGTGGATGTACTGTAGCATCAGTGTGTTTCAGCTTGATCTGCTGTATCAGTGGGCCAGCTTTATAATTGGGAACTACTGGGACATTAAATAGAGCTCTGGAGTAATTAAAAGTGATATATATATATTTTTTTAAGTAGTAAAATTGTGTCACTGACTTGTGAGCCCATCTTCCTATAAAACAAAACTAAAATATTCAAATATCCTCCAACCTTAGGCAAAGTAGCTCTGACTGCAGACTGAGCTTTCAAGAACAAAGAAGCACAGGAACTGGGAAGAGGAAATCTCCCTGTTAAATTCCCTGGTGTTTGCCTACAATGTTTTTTGTCTTGTTTCAATGACCTGGCACAAATGGGGAGAAAACAATTTGCTAGGCACGTTGATGACCATGGAAAGCAGAGCTGTGCCTTTCCTGTATGCAGGGCTCATGATGTAAATATGCATGAGAAATTTATCTTGCTTTGGAATTAAAAAGATTTAGTGAACTTTTAGGAATACTCTGAGTTCTTTCTCTTCCCTATTACTGGTGTCGCTGCTTTGAAAATAGCAGTGCAGGTAATGTCTTCATTCGCTGGTGATGATTATCACAATCATTTGAATTCCACTGAGTTTCTTTCCCGTTTGTATAAGTGAGAACTATCTACTAGTTTACAGTATTTCTAGATGTTTTGTATTTTTCAGCATGTAGTGCATTTTAGAACTGTAAAAAACAAATGTTGACCTTAGCAACTGGAGTGGAATAGACATGCTGTGAAAGGATGCTTCCTCAGGGATAGCTGTGGGAAACATTCTACCTGCAAACAAGAACAGATGGTAAAACATTTTTGAGGAGCACGTCCATGAGCAAAGCTGCTCTGCTCTAGGAATAACATTTTCTGAGAGTGCAATTTGAAAAGCTGCGTGACCCCTTGCAAATTGAGAGAACTTGCTCATATTCAACTCCCCTTCTACATCTGCAGTACTGCGTCCAGGCCTAAGGCCCCCAGTACAAGAAAGATGCAGAGCTAGTGGAATGAGTCCAGAGGAGGGCTCTAAGATGATCAGAGGGCTGGAGCACCTCTCCTATGAGGAAAGGTTGAGGGAACTGGGCTTGCTTAGCTTGAAGAAGAGAAGGCTCCAGGGAGACCTCATTGTGGCCTTCCAGTACTTGAAGGGAGTGTATGAAGAGGAGGGGAATGGCTGTTTGCGGGGGTGGATGGTGATAGGATAAGGGAGAACGGTCTGAGACAGGGGAGCTTTAGGTTAGATATTAGGAGGAAGTTTTTCACTCAGAGGGTGGTGAGGCACTGGAACAGGTTGCCCAAGGAGGTCGTGGATGCCCCATCCCTGGAGGCAGTCAAGGCCAGGCTGGATGTGGCTCTGGGCAGCCTGGTCTGGTGGTTAGTGACCCTGCACACTGCAGGGGGTTGGAACTGGATCATCATTGAGGTCCTTTTCAACCCAGGTCATTCTATGATTCTATGGTTGACAAGAGCATCCAGAAGTATTTCCTGACTGTTAAGTTGCATATTTGTGTAAGAGTTGTGGGCTGAGCAGCAGGGAATTGGATGTTCGAGGTTCTGTTTTAACAGTGAACTGTAGATTGTGCCACTGGTAAGCTCTTTGATTTTTGTTCATTTTTTTGCTTTTATCTTTGTGAGTAAACTGTTTTGAGATCTCTAAATAAAACAAGTTATATAATAGATAAAAGTTCTTGAAAAAGAGTATGAAATGTAATTTAATGTAAATGCATCGTTTGAAAGTAGTGAAACTGTTAGAAAATTAAATAAACAAATCTGTCTTCTCTTACATTTAAGGAAGTGAGTCACGATAATTATTTGTGTTATTGTTTAACCAGGTTCAAAAGGTAATTAAAATGTCTCTACTGTCAATGAACAGTTATGATGCATGTAACAATAATGTGTGTGAGTTGGACTTCTTAACAGAAATGAGCATAAATACGGATAAAAACACACAGTGGCTCAAACAAAAGCATTTTGTAGTGTATTCGGGTATCATCAGAGCATCTTTGGGCCTACAGCTGTTTGCAGAAAAAAAAATTCTGGATTCCCCTTAACTTTATATTTAGAGTACCACCTGATGAAATGAAATGAGAAAGTGAACTATGCTATGTAAAAGGTAAAGGATTATCATAGTTAAAGAAAAAATGTTGAAGTTACCCTCAGGGTGTTTCTAGAGAAAGTTATGAGTTTGGGATTTGGCAAAAATACAGGGAAGAGGAAGGGAAAATGGAACAGGAGAGGAATGATGTATTGGCACAAGCTACCTTTTTCTGCTCTTTTTGTTACTGGAATATTCATCTAAGCATGAGGGAATCATTTTCATTGATTCATAGAATAATTTAGACTGAAAGGGAACTTTGGAGGCCATCTAGGTCTAACCTGCTGCTTGAAGCGTCTCCAGTTCCACCTGCATCCCATTACTCAAGGCCTTATCCAGCCAAGGGCTGATTATCTCCACTAATGGGGCTTTCACACACTCTAAACCTGCAGCATTTTATTTGCGTGTAACTAGAATTTCCCATCTTTCAGCTTGTGTCCATTGCCTCTTTCTGTTTTACTTTACACTTCCAGGTCTGGCTCAATGCCCTCACATTCCTCCTGCACATTCCATTGAGGTGTCTGCAAACAATTCCCATTAGACTCCTCATCTCAGGGATGAACAAACTCAATAGTTTCGACCTCTTAAGTACCACAGGGACTGTACAGGGGAATAGGACATCTGGAAACTAATTCTTGAAATGCTTCAGTGGCATTTTCATTGAGGTAGAAGACTGTGAGTTTGGTTTATGAGATAGCATGAAAATGCTAATTCAAATTTCAAGTTGTTTTTATGATCCTCAGCAAAGTGACAAGGAACCTGGGGCATGAAAGAGCTAAAAATCTTGCTGAAGGTCCAGAGATGAGAACAGTATGCAGTATGCAGAAATCTAGAATTGCAGACATTGGCCTTTAGCCTGTCCTGGGAACTGTTTTGCAAAATAAACTTTTATTTTAACAAAAAAGGCAACTTGTTTCAAAAGTGCTGGATCAGTTTTTAAGCCTTATCAGTTTTTGTCCTTATCAAAAAGATGTTTATGTCACTTGAGAACATTGAGAAGATAATTCCACTAATATGAAATCTTCCTTAAGCAACCTGAGTTGAACAAGTACGTGACACGCAGAGGCTGACTGCCTAGGTAGCAGCTGGGACAGTGAATTGTTAATTTGGGCATGGCCTTTGATAGGAGCACGGTGATGCTCCCACTTGGACAAAGCAGCAGTGGATCCACCCTTAATCAGTGTGTACCATGAAAAGAACTGCTATGTTGTATAATAAGCTTTTGAAACAAGATGAGCAATGCAAAAATTCAGAAGCATTATAGATTTAACAGCCTCTGTGGGTATTAAAGTGGGTTGACTGACAAAGCAGAGGAACAAAAGGTAGCTCTGAATGGAACTACTGAAGTTTGAACAATGGG